CTTCTGGTGCCCGAGGGCACTGCCTCAGACTCCCAGGACATGGGTTAATTGCCCTCTCCCATGTGCTAAGTAGAAATTTTGAAGCACTGATAGAAATATGATAGTTTTCAGTTCCTCATCTTAAATGTTTGCTCCTTCTCCATGCTTCCTTTCTCTTTCAACAAAAGTTGGCAATGCTAAAAAAAGGTTTGTGGGAAGGCAGGAAAGGTTTACAATCCCATCTCTTCATTGATCTAATGTTTCTTGATGTGCCACAGCCACCTATGGGAAACAGGCCCTCAGCCTTTCCTGCCTTCTCATGACTGTTACTTTGCTTGTTACCAAGCTCTTGTGTGATGAAAACAAATGCACTTTTGCAGAGGGCAATTATTTGAAGCTTATAAATTATCTTCACTTGAAGCTCTCTGAAATTTTAGGAAGATAATTTCATAAGTCTGATAGCAGAAACACAAGCAACAATTAAGCCTGCATTTTACCTTCCAGATCTTAGCATCTCGTAAAGGGATTGCCAATCTCTGTTTTTTTACTTCACTTGCCAGCAATTCTATCATAGACTGAAAAGCCCATGTTGGCAAGATGGCAGAAGCAAGCAAGCAAGCAAGCAAACACCCTCACACATTCTTTCTCTCTAGTAGGATAAGCACTTTTCATACATCAGTGGAGGAACAAAAATCATTTTGTATCCTGACATAAGCCCAAAATATCACTGTCATCTAAATGGAAATTGGTTCCTCCCAGATAGAGAAACCTTAAATGTGTTCCACTCCCTAAGTAAAACGCCTCCTCACCCTGCCGCATCCCAGTTGTTTACTATGCTGATCTGAAGAAAACTCACAATTTTAGAAAATGAAATTGTATGAGAATGGGATTATTTCTTTTTCAAACACAAACAACAGACTAACGCACATTTGAAAACACTGGTGATTTTTGTGGGGTATTTTTCTTCAAGTGTTTATTGTGGGGTGTTTTGTTTTGTTTTGTTGATTTTTTGTTTTTTAATGAGCCCGTCTTCCAAAGTAGGACTCTCTGGCATTCTGTCTAAAAGCAAACGTTCTTTTCTGACTGTTCACATCTCTAAATCTTTCTTTGTCAGAAGTAAATGTGGCATCAAGCACAAAGCTTGCTGCTCTTTCCCTTTTTATTTTTATTTTTTAATTGTTTAATATTGCTATTGAATTTTTGCAATTTTCATACAACATAGTTTGATGGTATTTATATCCCCTCCCCATCCGCACCTCCCCCCATTGCCCACTTCCCAATTTAATGTACTCTTTTATATCTAGAACACGGCCTATAGAGTTTGGTTTGTGTCCCCAAATGTCCTTCAATGTGGGTCCATCCACCAAAGTCCACCTTCGGAGCAGCCACAATTCATAGGACCTGCCCAGATATTCACTTATTTCTGCTTTCCACCCTGCCTTTCCCTGAAGATTCTGTAACTTTTCTGCTCCCACAATGACTTCCAAGTCCCAGAAGAGCTAGATGGCCTGTCCTTGGTCTCAGTGGGACTCTCAGGACACTCCCTGTGGGCCAGGGGAGGTCCTTCTCTTCTCTTTCCCCATCTTCTGCTCAACTGCTGGCCAGTTTCTCACTCACTCAAGATCAAAGCAGGAAGCCAGGGCTGCGCTGTCTTCACACTCCCCGCCAGCACTTGGTGACACTCATCTTCTTCAGTTGGCTGTCCATCCTCCTCTTCAGCTCTGGAAACATCTTCAGCTGACCCCCATCACAAGTGACCCCACCTATTCACAGGAAATTTCCAAGCATCCTTTTCCTCACCAAATTGAGCAAGGCTGCCCAGGTTACCCCATGAAACGCATATGCAAGCATATGCATAACACAATTCATGGTCCTTTGAATGCTCTATCACATTCTTTGTGTGTGTATGTGTGTGTGTGTGTGTGTGTGTGTGTGTGACAGAGAAGCTGTGTGTGGTATGTGTACTTGTTAACATGTATGTGTGTTTGTATGTACTTGCAAGTGCTCCTGTACCTGTGTGTGCATATGTGTGAAACTCAGTGGTTGATGTCAGGTATTGTGGTGGTTTGAATGAAAATGTCCCCCATAGGCTTCAAGTATTTGGACATTTTTTCCCAAGTTGTTGACTGTTTTGGGGAGGATTTAGGAGGTGTAGCCAAGCTGGAGGAAGCACATGACTGGAGACAGGGTTTAAGAGTTCTTAAGCCTTGCTGGATTTCCAGTGTCTCTCTGCTTCCTGTGCCTGCTTGAAGATGAGATACTGAGCTTTCTGATCTATCTTTCTGCCATGCGTCTCCCACCATTATGGACCCTGATCCCTGGAACCATGAGCTCAAATAAACTCTTCCTTTTATCAGTTCCCTTGGTCACAATGTTTTATCACAGCACCAGAAAAGTAACTAATACAGTTATCTTTCCTTAATCCCTTTACACCTCTATTTTTTAAGACAGTCTCTCTTTAAACCTGAAGCCCATTCATTCAGCTAGATCAGCTAGCCACCTGTCTCTACCCCAGCCTTGGGGTTACAGGCATACACCACTGTACCCAGCTTTTTTCATGAACTCTGAGGATTCAGACTCAGGTCTTCATGCTTGCAAAGCAAGTATCTTGCCAACTGAGTCATCTCCCATCCTCGACCCTCACATTCTTTTAAAAAATATTTTATTTATTCATTTTTATATTATGTGTATGAGTGTGTTGCCTGCATGTACATAAGTGTACCCATATCCTGCAGTGCCCATGGAGGTCAGAAGAGGGCATTGGATTCCCTAGAGTTGGAGTCATGAGTGGTTGTTAGCTGCCATGGCTTGGTCTCTGAACCACCTTGGTCTCAGGCCACCTTCCTTCAGATTCCCTGAAGCAGCCCCTATCCTCTGAGGACCTGGGTTTGGCTCCCAGCAACCATATGGTAGCTAACATTCATCTTTAACTCCAGTTCCAAGGGCTCTGACTCCCTTTAGGCCTCTGAGGGCATTGTATGCATGCAGGCAAAACACTCATACATATATTTTTTTAAATGGACTCTGAATCTTAGAGCAGAAATAGAACTTGAACCTGTGAGCCCAAAGTTCTAGGATTACTACTGACTCTTAGATACATTATTCTTTCAGATTTGTAGTTACTACAACCCAAGTCAGTGCCCAGCTCCCTGTATCTTTCTCCTGGTGAGTTACAGCGGGAGACTACCTCAGATGCACTTCAGACTTCCACCATGGGTGGGGTCAGCAATTCCACTGTATCTGTAGGGTCTTTGAAAAATGGAACTAACCATTACCTTGCTCTGGGGACTAAAGGAGACTGTGTATTAGGAAGCCCCTGGCCAAGTTACTGTCACCCTGAAGAAAATGAAGAATTCAGAAGTGGATTCTGTGTGAAACACCTCAACATCTGGGGGCCAGCAAAAACCAGGAGAACGTGAGGATGACGTCATGTGCAAAGTAGAAGATGCCCCCATATGATGAGGTCAGCCTAGAAGGCAGACTTGGTTGGGGGGGGGGCAGCCAGGGATGCAGAGGCAGGAGGATAAACAGCATAGAAACACACACACCCAAGAGTTCACAAGTCAACACTAACTGACTCTCACAGCCCACACTGATGTTTCCTCTTCTCATCTATTGATTTTCATGTTTTCAAAATGCTGGTTTCAACACACTAAACAAGTATCATTAAGCTAATGAGTCATAACTCACATCTGTAGAAGTGTGGAGACGGCACACCCCCAGTGCATTGCTAGAAAAAGGAAAGAAACTAGTTTGCAGTAAGTTGTCTTTGTAAATTCTTTCCTGGGTGGCTTTGACCTGCCTTTTAAAAGAGTTAGTTCTGGAATGTTGCTAAGATTCAATTCTCAGCTCCGTCTTTTGAAGTCTCCCGGCTCCATTCTCAGGGCAAAGAACTCAACCCGTTTTCCTTCAAGGTGCCTGCCGGTCAAGACCTTCCCAAATCGTTGAGGTGGCCTTCCGATTTCCAAAGGGGCTACTCTGTCCCCTCACCTGTACACATCACCTCTTCTTCTGTTAACACGGGACCATCTTCCTCATCGGAGCAAAGCTTGAGGCCAACACCTTCTTCACACCTGTTCTTGCAGCCCAGGCCAGTCTCCAGCACCTGTTCGTGTTGGCGCTGTACGTAAAGGTCCCCAGACTCACAGTCGTAGTTTCCAGACCTTTCTTTCTCTACCCCACTTCTCCCACTGCTAACCGGTGGCGTCAGGTCGAAAAATATACTGACTCTCTCAACTAATTTTCACCTGTGCTCTGGAAATACTGCCTCCTGCTTCCCCCCAACCCCCAATCCCCAAGCCCTGGAGTAGCAGAGGCATCTTCTCTGAGCTTCCTTTGTTCTCAAAACATCCCCGACCCTTCATCCGTCCAGATCAAATTAAGCACGATAGCCGATATCCGGGGTTGCATGTCATCTATGGTGCCGTTGAAACCCAAGCCTTAAAAAGCTTTCTGTCGCGGCTGCTCTCCGAAGGCCTCCCTCAATTCCGTACACAGCCGGGGCAGAAAAGCACGCGGGAGGAAGCTGCAGTCACCCACACTGGTAAGGTGAACCTCAAGGGCTCCCTAGTCTGAAAGGAGCTGTCAAGCGGGCTTGGACTAGAGAACCAGAGTCGGCAGGAGGCGCGCGTCTGGGGCCCGGGGCGGTGCCCTTTCCCCGAGGGGCGGGTGCCCAGCCGGGGGCTCTGAGTGCCGGTGGCGCAGCGCCGCGGAGCCCGGGTAATGGGGAAAGTTTCTCACCTGCTGGAGAGGGAGCGACCTGGCCGCGGGGCCCAGCGCCCAGAAATACCGGGCTCCGCCCGCGCCCCCACCTCCGGCTTTCCGACCCCCGGGGATGGGAAATGCACAGGTCCGCAGGCGGCAGGGCCGGCTTTGAACTTGGATGCTCTCCGAGAGGCCCGAGCGTTTCCCTCGGGTACCGTGAGAGCCGGCTGTTCCCCGCCCTCCCCATCCTCCACTCCCGCGATCCCAACACCCCGGCAGACTGAAAACCACCCCATGCCCTGGCCAGCCCTACCCACCCCGGGTTACCGCAGGCTCGGCCCGGTCCCAGGTCCTCCCAGGTGAGCGAGCCCCACCGCTGCCGCTGCCTCTGGCCGCTCGGCTGGGTGAGCCGCTCCCTGCGCCACGGTGCTGCGAGGATGCGCGCTCGCGACCTGCGGCGGAGGCGGTGCTGGGCACGGAGGCTGGGGCTGAGTTCCCAGAAACCTCCCCAGCCCCGGGACACCTGAGGAGGCGAGTTTGGAGGGGGTCCTGGGAGCACACTTCACAGCTCCCACTGTCAGAACCTGCCCCAGCAAAGGAAAGAAAAGAAAAAATCCCCAGGGATTCTTTGCCCTCCCCGGCTATGTAGTGGGTCTCTTACAAGCCAACTTTGGGTAAGAGGAGCTCAAGAGCTGAGGGAAAGGAAATGGGGTTGCAAGAAAACAGGCCGGTGAGTTATCCTCAGTATTGAGTTCAAGTGCAGCAAGTCCAAAATCCTTCATAACGTGCTACTTAAATTACTACTCCACAGGCAACCAAACACCCTCCACACTTGGCTCCAAAGATATAGGAATGGGCCAAGGGCAGGAGCAGGTTAGCGCACTCCGGTGTTCGCTGAGTCCACCTCCCGTGCCAGACTTCCCAGAGCTTAGTGCCTACCAAAGAGACCCACAATAACATAAGTAAAGAAAACTCGGTGTGTATGAGGTAGTGACAAAGTGCCTTGGACAAAATAAATAAAATACTGAGGGAGAGGGCAGTCAGATACAGCCTCCCTGTAGAACAGGGAGGTGAGAGCACAGCCAGGCTTGTATTTGGGGAGAGAGGGTGTGAGCCAGGCCCTGAGATATCCCTTAGCACATAATGCCCCACGAGGATGGTCACAAGGCCTTTTCAATTTTACTGATGAGGAAATTGAAGCTTAGGGAGGTAAAGTGAATTGGCCAAGGTCACATTACTCAGTGGGGAAGCACCCCCCCTCCCCGTGCCTCAGAACCCTAGTTTAATTAGAGCCATATACTGCAGGGGAAGATACAGGCATCTCTGTGTGCAGGCTGGCTGGCAGCAGTTGGAACCTGGTATGGTGGTACCAGAAAAGGATTCCTGGAAATGACATTTGATTCATGGATTTTTAAAATAGTTTCATTATCACATGTAAAATGAAATATTTTGAAAACCATCTTTACAGCATATGTATGTGTTCCTGTCTCATTCGCAGGCAGTTAAATTATAAACTACACAATTTAACCATCTGTGGTGACAGTCCTTAGTAATTCCCAAGACTGTACACTGACTCATTCCCCTGCCAGAGTCCTATTTATGGCAATGTGATCCATCATCCATGCAATGGAGCTTGCACCACATGTCAGGGCCTAGTGACATGGCACAGAGCAGTCACAGTGCCACTGCTGAGAGGCCACTGTCTAGAGGCCAGTCTTCTCCACCTTAGCAGCAGGGGGCTCTGTACCTAGGCAGGGGACCAAAGGTTCACTGAGATAGACAGTCAGACACACTGTGCTTTGTGGAAAAGGCAGTTCACTAACCATTAGTTTCAGAAGCCAAAACAGCAGCATCCAGGAGGCACATTGTCAGAAGGGCAAGGAAGCTCTTGCATCCCTCCTGGGCATCTACCTGCCTGTTATGGCCAGCATCCCCTTCTTCCTTCCTCCAGGGACAGCAACAAATATCTTTCTACCTTTCCCTTAAGGCCCATCTCAAACACCATTTCTCCCAGGAAGTCTTTTGTGGGTAGTGGCTGTGTGTGTCTATGTTAATGTGTGAGTGCAGATGTGCCACAGTGCAGGTGTAGAAGTCAGAGCACAAACTTAGGTGTCTGTCCTTTCCTTCTACCTTGTTTGAGACACGCCTCTTGCTGCTCACCAGTCTAACTGGTCTGCAAGCTTTTAAGGATTCTCCTGTCTCTGCCTCCCAGCTCACAGTAGGAATGCTAGAATTACAGATACATGAGTCTAGATCCAAACTCGTATCCTCACACTTGGAAGGCAAGTGTTTTACTCACCTACTGGTTTTACCATCTCCCCAGGCCTCTTAACCTAAACCCTGAAGCCTCTTACAGCACCTCTCCTTTTCTACCTTGGAGTTCATCATGTTTATCTTAACTCCTTTCCCAACCCACATCATGTTTTGCTTCCAGTGGGCATTTAATGAGTACATTTTTATTACAGTTAATAAACTAATCTTCAAAGATGCATGTTCATTGTCTTTTCATTTTGTTTTTTCACTGCAAAATAACTTTCCAGATCAAGGAAATTTAATGACAAACTAAATTATATGCAGCCATAGATACTCTCCATTAATAAGAGTTGACATCAGTTTGCCTTGAGGTAAATTATATTTGCCCCATTTTGAGATTGGAAAACTGAGCCTTAAAAGTAGTTTCCCTAGTGTCACCATCCACTCA